CAAAATTGCATTTTGTTGGAGGGAATACTACCATTTAAAATGCTCATCGGTTTTTCACAGTTTTCTCAAAAGACAGTGAAGTCTTTGAAGTGATGCCCGCAATCGTCGTCAAAAAGGTGGCCCTAGTTAAATCAGTCGAGACGGGGCTGCACCAGTCTTGTGCTGAAATGGTAGGACACCTTAGCAGTGACTGATCGATGATGCACAAACGCTTTAACGAAGTTGATTGCACAAGAAATTCTAATAAATGTGCTCATCTGCTACTCACGTGTGCTCAAAAAGGGTGCGTTTTTGACCCTATGTGGCAAAAAAGACTCCGGGAAAAATTGTCCAGTTGAGCTGGTAAGTAATAAACTTTTCCACCATACAGTGCAGACCCTACTCTAACTAACTGTATACTTCTTTTGTCCAGGCCTAACTTTTAGCAAGTGAGAGGGATGATTTGTCAGATGATGTCAAAACCGACCTACCTCTCTTTTTCGACTCAAAAAATTCCTAGCTTTAATCGTACGAGGTTTTCACTCATACTGGTAAATGGGAAAGGTGCTAATGAGTCATTCGATGGATATGCCGTTTCACTCACTGGATTCTGAATTAAAATATTGGTGGTCCGAAACTCGCGGTGAAAAAACGACACTAAGATATCCGGTTTCAATATCATCGACGCAACTACTCCTTTTGGCTATTTACCATTGCAGATTACAAATCCCCAAGTGATCAGCCCCAGCAGAAGTTTCAGGAGATCACTAGCTGCGATTAGTCGAGCTCGACTAGTGTAGCTACAGTGATTGTTGTGCAGAAGAATCTCGTCCTGTTTATGCGGCGACTTTTTAGTGGGACTATTACCCATTCCCTGCTCTTGCCCGACACTTGATCTTGATGAGATGACCCTATTTCTTTTTAGCAATATTTAGATTGGCAGCCTCACTTGAGGCCTGTGTCCATTGTTGTGGAGCCTGGCTGGTGGGCGGAAGTTGTAGCTCTCAGCAAGAATTTTGAAGCATTTGGTACACACATGCGAATTTGCACACTGGACCCAGGAATTTTCAAAAAAAGTATAAAAATTGGGGAAAGTTAAATTGTGAACCAACAATAGAAAACAATAAGCAACATATTTCGCAGTATTAATGAGCAAAAAGGACTTTCTGAGATATTGATTTTCCATAGTAATCGGCCCCAAAACTTCCTGAACTCAGAAAAGCGACACTAAGATATCCGGTACCTAATATAATAAGTTTGATACGACACGGAACCGTTCTTTTAGTAGCATGAAGAGGCTCTCATTCAACTGGTTCACACTTATATCCTAACCTCACAACCATTATATACTTTTTCGCCGTAAGGTTTGCCAGCTTTAGGTTCGCTACTGTAGCCCAACACAAGCAGATGATTAACGTTACATAACACTTACGCGCAGAAAGGAAACCTATGGGCTAGGCTCTGCCTGGTGGGCTTGTATTATTTAAGATAATGGAAAATCAGGAGGAAGAGAAAATAGACTACGATGAAGCAAGGAGCAAACCGCAAGCACTCGTGCCATGGTATAAGCATGTTGTTGGGTTATGAAAACGGTCCCCGATTCTCTGCTGTGTCACTGCATTCTTTCCCTATACAGAGAAATTCGTCATTCGGTAGAGTGGGTAAGCGTCGCTGCGTAATACTAGGTTGTTATCCCGAGAAAACAGTTAACATTCTGGTGCAGCATCCCTTCACAAATAGCAGCGTACCTAGGCAATTGATCCAAAAAAATTGACAAAAACCAAATTCTAGACTTTTCGCAGCATTGCCATTCTTCACGATGAAAGACTCGGCCTAGAGTTGCCATTGTGAAGTAGTAGCAAACGGAGTTGTGCACGTCATGTCAAAACTGATACTACGTTCATGCGCTTCCACTCTAGAGAGCAACATAATTAATTCCGTACCTTTAAATTTTATCGAAAATGCGTGATTTGTGGAGGAGATTCCTATCTAAAAAATATAAAAGGAACTAATGTAGTGGTACGTTTGTTATAACATAAATGACGTAATAGGAAGAGTATCCAATCGTATCACCTTCAGTAGTTGGTTTTTTAAACAATCACTATCTATTTTGAAAGATTCAGATAGAAAACAACATCAAGCAGAAAAAAACCCAGCGGAGTATGGGAAACGGATCATTCACTTTAGGGGAAATGAGGTAATACATTCACGCAGAGAGTAACTCTCCAACAAGATTAGCATTAGTTTTTACAGGAAAAGTAACAATGCGCCGGGATGTAACTAACTAATACGACGAGGTAATATCTAACGATAGATTACCATAAAATGTACAAACACAATTCGAACATGGCAGCATAAATGGAAGTTTTACAATTACATACAGTATATAAAGAATCGTGCGATAATGCTTAGCGTAGAAACTAAACTATTGCACGTGCCAACTCTAGAAAAAAAATCAGTGAAATCACGCTTTTTTGGCCAAAAACAGACAGTGATTGTCAGAAATCGAGGCACAAATAATTTTGTATCCATCCAAATGCGCTGACGTAATTTTCTGTGGCGTTGGAACGATCTGTAGATATAGCTTTCATTCATAATAGAGAACGCCTTACTTCATGCTTACCTTTTCATCATCGTCCTTCAAACCCAAGCCAAGTTGACCGCTTGTGTCACATCCCCACGCGTACGCATCACCTTTCTCTGTCCATGCTACTGAACAACCCAATTTGGCAGTCGTCCCAGCAACTTTTCCAGCTTCTCGTGGGAATCGGATGCGTTCCAAGGTGGAGTACCTAAATAGAGACTTGTTATTTATTCAGTCACTTTCAGTGGTGTTACTTTCACCATGTATTTATTCAATCCTGCTTCTGCTCTTCGAAGAATAATCAACACCCAATAACGTAATTTTTGAGTACTGTCACAGAAGAAATGTCACAATAGCTAGATAAAAACAACGACTGCTCGATAAGCAATCATTCTCTAAACATACTTCCAGTGTTCAGAGTCATCGTTTCCAGTCCATGTCCCGAGACCAAGGGCGTTGTCTGTGTTTTTTCCAATTCCATACACTTCTCCTGCAAATCAGATAAACATCATCTCCCATTAAAAAACAACCTCTCCAAACTGGTGCCCTACCCATAACGAATAGTATCCATTTTCTAGTAATGTGATAATAAAACTCTCCATCATTTCTTTCAAGGTGAAAAGTTGAGGAATCGTTCAGGAGGAAAGGAGTAATGACTATATGGATAACGATAGCACTGAATGCGAATAGTATCCATGTCAACCAAAACTTTTGGGATCGAGCAGAAAGTCACTCTTCACACTCGAAAACTCCAATTAAATTGTACAAATGATTTTCTCCGTTTCCGCGAGAAGTTTCAAGCAATGCTTTGATGACTGATTATATATGCTATTTTTTATTATTTACAATTTGGCACGTAAATGCGAGTGAATGTACTTTCGCTGTTATCGTGATCACTCGAGTTTCGCTTCTTTAATTTTTTGTAACACTATCATACTAATATATAAACCAGAGTTTGTTTGTCTGACCGCTCCCCAAAAATTCGCAAGTGTCCCCCACATGTTTATAATTCTTCCTTCAAAAATCACCTAGGGAGGGCGGGTCAAGTTTGGAATGGGTAGAGTATGAGTCGCTCTTAAGGGGAATATCATACTATTATATAAACCAGAGTTTGTTTGTCTGACCGCTCCCCAAAAATTCGCAAGTGTCCCCCACATGTTTATAATTCTTCCTTCAAAAATCACCTAGGGAGGGCGGGTCAAGTTTGGAATGGGTAGAGTATGAGTCGCTCTTAAGGGGAATATATTAAACTCCGCCTCCAGTGGGCGGGGCGTGCGTCGAAATTAAAAAATTTGGTGAAAAAATTGCAGTTTTTGGCTTCAGAACAGTCTAAAGACAGGGAAAAAATAAGGCCTTAATAGGGTACTTACCGCTCTACAAGGGAATATATTGGCCATGCTAAACTCCGCCTCCTGTGGGCGGGGCGTGCGCTTAAAGTAAAATTTTTCGTGAAAAAATAGGCGTTTTTCGTCCAAAAACATCCAAAAAACCAGGTAATGGGGGTTGAATAGACCATAGATCACCCCCCTATCATACTATTATATAAACCAGAGTTTGTTTGTCTGACCGCTCCCCAAAAATTCGCAAGTGTCCCCCACATGTTTATAATTCTTCCTTCAAAAATCACCTAGGGAGGGCGGGTCAAGTTTGGAATGGGTAGAGTATGAGCAAATGAGGCAGAGCAGAATTACAAAGACTTGACATATTCCCCGACGTCATCTTCAAGTTCACAGTTTCTATAGTATTTGATTCTGAGACCACTCGACCCACTTCAATTCCACCCCATTTCCTCTCCAAAACCCCAGACATCGGCGAGGGGGGGCAAATACCTCTGATGAAACGGGAAAATCCTCGAATTTGGAACTTTCACGCTTGATAACTTCTTTCGCCAGAAATCATCAGAAACTGGGATGGCGGTGAAACGAGAAAAACAAGTCAATTGTCTTAAGTTCTTCCATTTTTCCACCCTCTTTCTGGTTAGTCTAGCAGCCTTTCCCACATGAATCCTTTGATCAAGTCAAATTATAACGTCAGTTCAGGTCTGACTGGATCATCTTTGATTTCGGTCCCAGAAGGCTTGAGAGTAAGCCTGCGTTAGCCTGTTCTGACCACTGCAGCACTCCGGTGACTTCACCTAATCGGATGGCCTGAGCCCCCTCCAGATGGGGACGAGTCATGCTAAGAAAAAGGTAATACTTTGAAGAACAAACAACAGAGAATAGAAGAGCGAGGATATCCGAGGTGACCTGACAAACTTGATACGTACCCAGGAAAACCACATCTTCCATCGCTCCAGGGTTCAGGTTTGTCTGGAATGATAAAGCGCTGACTTTTACATCGACTGGCCCGGACAAGGCACTGTGTGGGCCAAATTGGATCCAAGACCCACTACAATCCATGGGAGCAGAATGCGCGGCACATCCCAGAAGTTCGATTAACGTCGCAGAATGTTTTCTTCTTCATCCTGCTTTATTTTAGTAGGCGTTTTAACAGATCCTTCTTCTTCTCACTGCATTGACTTCACGCTACTTACGATATTCTTCCCCCCCCCCCCCCGCCCAAAAGAAACAGATCGAACTACTCCCCTGTTGGACTCTAGAGGTCCAAGACCAACCTTTATATCGCTTGAAAAAACAAAATAGACGGTTTCAAAAGTGGGTGAACGGGCGTCCCCATCTGTTCAATAAAGGGTTTCACTTTTGATAATATTAGGTTAGAGTAGAAACGTTTTCTCACTATACAACTACACCAACGATTCAGGAACTTTCAGAAAAAATGCAGCCTTCTGTATGTTGAGCTTCTCATACGGAGTACAAGCAAAAAGGTTGCTCTGATTGTGAACCGGAATGGTATACAAAAATAAAAAGGGATACCACTGATTGGACGTAGACAAGTATTTGAAGAAAAGTCTTAACAAAATCTCACCTTCCTTATCTCGAGCTATTATATGTTGCACACCATCAATATGCGTCCATGATCTGCCAAGATATGCTGTGGCAACATCCGGTGTAAGAATACGGAGCTCACGCTTGTCTTCTTCAGAAGCTACAAGAAAGAATTCTATTTTCGCATCAGATCATTGATATTTTGGCTTATGTTAGCATTTTACGAAAACAGAACGATTTCTGAAGGCCCTCACCACAGCCAAAAAGCGTGCTGAAGTTGTGTACATCAAGTATCGCTTACTCACCATCTGTAGGAGGCTCTCCTTCGATGGGAATTCCAAGATGTTCGAAATTATTTAGTCCAAACGAAAAAACTTGATCATCAGACACTATCATAGTCCAAAAACCTCCAGCATGGATGTCCTGCAACATATTGAGCTTAATAAACAACTTTAACCTTCCTACAACCAGAACTTACCTTTATGGGAATGTCTTTTCTTTTTTTGTCTTGCAATATCAATATTAGAGATCTACCATCTTCATCAACCATGTATTCTGAAGCGGAATAAAAGTAAGAAACAAGCAACAATTAAAAGACGCTGAGCGTTACGTACGAGGTCTTATCGAGCCTGTTCTCTTGCTTCTTCCTAGCTGGCCCATCTTTCCATCTCCAAAGGTTAAAACTTTGCCATCTTCTTCCAGCATGACAAGGTGATTCTCACCAGCAGCAATCTGCAGGAATTGTTCAATTGGACGAGTCTAGGGTAAGTGGAAAGCTGCACAGCTCACCTTCACTATCACCCTTTTCTTGTAATGAATCAAAACGACAGGATGCTCCTTCATCTTAGTCAGAAGCGGATGCACATTTATTTCTCCACTGGTGTCCTACAAGATTGTACGGATAAGATGAACGTTCTCGATTCAAGAGAAACGGCAACCTGTTGACTCACTCGTAGGTTTCCCCAAGCAATTACAGATCCTCTGTCAGTGAGAGCTGCTGTAAAACTTGCGCCAGCGGCCAGCATAACAATCTAGAACATTTCGTATGCTTAACAGCATTTCCTCGCCATATACTGGAATTGACATACCTTTCCCTGAGAAGCAATCTCTTCGGAAAACTCAACTTTGGTAAACTTGTCCGTGCTGCCTTCTGGTTCGACTCCTAATTAACAGAACATGTACAAAGCTGTAATGATAGCCGGAGAACATGAAATAAAAACGTCATACCTATGGCAGGGACTGTTCCTTGTTCATTTATTCCACACATGTAAACTTCACCGTCTGTTGTTAGCAAAGCGGAATGCACACCACCAGCCACAACCTAGAGAAAATCCAGAAATAGAAACAAAAATTCAGATAATGATGGGGTTCACAGACCTGAACGATTTGTAATCCCTTTTCCTCCACTAGGTCCACTTTCCTCGGCTTCTTCGTAGTTGTACGGCCAGGATGACCAAGTTGCTCCCCCTCTCCACATGACAGCACTCTATCACCAATTTCGTTTGAAACATAATCAGTATATGACAGTTTCACTTTGGCATGAGCAATGCGACCTGAATATGACATACAGATGAATTCGCTGAATGGCCAAAATAATGTGCCGATCAAAAAGTTTCAACGTTTAACCCTTTCGGACCTGAATTTTTCCCCGTGGAGAAATTTTTCTTCTAGCTATTGTTTATTACTTGTGAGCATATAGGTATCATTATGGCGAAATTTGGAAGCTATTCGATCACAAACAAAGAAACTAAGAAGCTTTGAAAATTGGCCCACCTTCTTAGTTTTTAAGCTTATGTCGAAACAATTCGAAATTTCATAGTTATGCCGAAAAAGTTTATAATCTTGCATAACATTATAACCCATAATTTTGATTTAGGAATGGATCTACTTCAAGTATTTTAAGAAAAAGTCACACTTACTTGGCCGGTTGCGGGGGTCAGCGCCCATTCATTGTTGCACTTGTACACAAATACTTGTAATACTAACAGCAACACACAATGAAATGGCAGGTTTAGCTCATAATTAGGAAGGGGAAGGTTGACTGAAGCAACCTCTAGCAGGATTAGAAAAACCATGCTGTTTCAGCGGCAATGCAAGCGTTTGAATTTGGTGGTGGCAATTGCCACCGCCAGGGCCGAAAGGGTTAAATTTCAAGCATTGTACTCTGGAATGGGGACGATTTACAAGGATGAGGACCAAATAAGGCCAATAGATCTAATTAATATTCCCAGTGGTCCTTTTCCAATATTATTCAAGCGATTGCGTTACTTTCACTTGGAAATTAGAGTCGTAGCAGACCAAAAATGCGATGAACACAATTTCGACATTCTTCTAGGCTAGAGACAGTACTCCTCCCCGGAAACAAGAACAGGACAAAGAGTGGAACTCCATCTGGGGTCTATACGAGTAAGGAGGAGAATGAATTATTTGTTGTGCTGTATAGTCGCCGTTACCACCCTCGCTTGTATTCTTCACAGTAGGACTACGCTGATCTCAGCCGACCTCATTAGTAAAGTTGTAATGAACTAGCCTCCGCCTTGCCACACCGATCTTCGAAGTTTTAAAATGATAAAGCTCTCCGAGACCTCCTCAGACTTTCTACACTAGCATGAAGCAGATTTTCCTCTAAAACGTGAGGCCCAAATTAACTAGATACTTGCGAGGGATATCAAGCAAGAAGACATTCATGATGAGAGAGCGCAGAAACTTTCAATCAGCTTCCTTAAAAGAGCGTTGGCGGCCCAAAACCAACTTCTTTTACAAACCATCGCTTACATAGCCACGCCCGTGCGGACATCTCCAACGCTTATCTCTTTGACACAGCAACAGCACCTAATATGGCACCAGTGAAGAGAGTGGTTCTACTAAATCAACCATAAGGGAAGCATCGATGGTTTGGAATATGAGAAACGGCGAGTTGGCGTTTACAAAAAAATGTTGATGCTGCATGTTTTGGAGTTGTGAAGTCATCATCCACCGAAATAACAGGATCCATGATCACAAGAAGTCGCTCTTGTTCGACACGGTAGCAAAAAATAAATTTAAAGGAAAACAGGATCAAGCTAATCAGCTCCACGATAACATGCGTCCGCATGTGTCTTTGGTCACACGCTAAAAAAGCCTCAGCCTGACTGCTCTGTGGTCGCATCGATACATCACCTTTTTAAATTACTTACTTAGAGAACAAAAAACTCGACCATGAAAAGAACCTCAAGTCCGGCATCCATTTCGTGATGAAAAATTCCCACCTTTCAAAAGACGTTGTATATACTACTGTATGAATGTTGTTTGTCGTATTATTATTTACTCCAACGGTTAATGTCTTGAGGATCATTGATGAATGAAGAATAAAGACAAATCGCAAAATTAATTTGAAATCTTTTTCTAAGCTACACAGCCGTATTACAGAACCTTCTCCTTTCATGCCTTACCTCTTCCTCCTGGCGTTTTTGGTGTTTTGGCAGGTGTTGCGGAACCATCCTCTTGGGGTACTTTGCGCTTACGACCACGTTTACCAGTAGTTGGGACCGTCTGAAATGTTCCTCAATAGTGACAAGCTCAATACAAGTATCGGAAATGTACTATCACTTGGCTGAGTGATCCTTTTCATAGCTCAGAACCACTGACATACTGAGCGCCACCAAAAACATGTGAGTAATCAAAAACAAAAATAAAATAAAGAATGTTTGAGCGAGGTCAGCTTCGTTGCTGATCGCTAAGTAAAATAATGCATTTAAAGATACACCAACGAAATAAAACGCCACCATAACAATACCCGTAACTAAATAAAAAACAAAACCTAAAATAGGTTTATGAGGACTACAATTTGTTATGCTCACCAGGACTTCCTCATTTCGCTTGAGTTCTGCGGTAACTCTTTTTCTATCCAAGCGCGCAGATTTACGAGGCATTATTGAGAGCAGGCGACCGTTCCGTTAATCAAGACAGCAAATATTGAAGAAACAAAACGCGCCCTAACAAGAAATGCACAAATGATAAAGTTCTGCATACGGTACATCGCTTTGAAACCAAAACTGTAGCACAGCATAGCCATTGGTGTGCAGACCACCAAGTCTGTGATACCGTACTCTGCAATGTGAGATCACTCACTCAGCTCCATCCCACACTGATTTCGTAACATAATCCTTCATCAGATCTTCCTATGACATCATAAAAACCTTTCCTGACAGCAAATCCCTCTATAAGTGCATCTATACTCATAATTTGCTTCACAGTGCTCAAGAGACACATCCACAATATATTTCTGGGAGCTCTTTCTCTTTCTGCGTGTATACATACAGCGGCTTTTATCAATATTGTTGAAATATGGATCGTCTTCATTTGACCACTTAGCTAGTTGGCATTAATATTGTTTTCACAGACAGCATACTTCATAGAAACACCAATGCGCTATTCGAACGTAATAAAATATCAATTCAAAAATGGTCACAGCTCACTAATAAGCCCGACTCAAACACTAACACGTTCATCCTGGACTAATCCTTCACTAGGCGTTCGTGATGCTTTCGGGGATTTATCCATAATGACTCATGAGTGAACCCATCGCGCTACTATGGAAAACCTGTAGACCTGCTTCACTGAGCTGAGTCCAATGTACTGTGCTACAGCTTACTTTGGATCAAGCGAGTCCTACAAAAGATCCTACAAAATACTGGTGCTTGAGAACAGCTCGCTGAGGCTCTTGCCATATTAAGATTGACAACTGTGAGCCCGATCCTGATCGAAGATGTATTGCTGTGTCTTTGACTCTGCCTCTCTTCATATTCTCTATGTCCTTTATGCGCTGCAAAGGGAAGAATCATAGTCCTACCGTCGGAACAATTTCTAGACGTTCTGCAACCAGAAGAACGTGGCAACATAGCGCATTTCCGTAGAACTATTAACAGAAGGTTCACACGCCTTAGCAACTCAACAAGGTGGTCAGGTGGAGCTTGTTCTAACATTTCGCTGTAAACTTTTATCGTTGCGACAGTGAGCGACACGTCATCATGACTCATTCGCAGATACATGAAGAAACCTCTAACTTGGTAACATTGAGTTCAAATGTAATTTTGGCTCTGCTCTAGTGATCTTCACGAGCTTCTTCGAAAGTTTCAAGTGCAGTGCCTCACCTTAGGTGCTTCATTGGTCGTGGGTTGAATCCTCGGCCGCCCTCGAGTTCTTGGTGTTCTAGGCTCTGTCACCTCTGGCGCTGCAGGAGAAGCTGGTTTTGTTTCTTTATTCACTGAAGTGTCCATTTCCTCTTCTTGCTGCTCTTCACCCTTAATAATGAAGACTAATAAGGCTCTTGTTTCTTTATAAAAAAAGACACCCAAAGCAAGGCTGTCCATGTGCTTCGCACATAAATCATTTGTAAACGTTTTCCAGATTGTTGAAGTTTTGGAAATAAATAAAGGTATGAGTCAACGTACCTCGTGAACCACAGGATCACGCCTCTCATGCGTGATAACTTCAGTGGACTCCACGGTGACCACTACGTGCTCTTTGATGACATCACCGCCATTTCGTCCCTCGACTGTGTAACTCGTTGTGTGCTTCTCTCTTACGACATCTACATTATCTCCCGAAACGTAACTTGTTGCTTGGACTACTTCCACAGAACCGCTTGTGTTTTCAGTCTCTCTAACTCCTAAAGATGAGGTGTCTTCTTCCTGCATTTCGACTTGCGCCCTCCCAACTCTGTGTTTCGGCTCGCCAGAAGTTATCCTCTAAAAAATTGACCATCTTTATCACCATATTCAAATTGAATGCCATGCTAACCATTTCTTCCACATTCTCGTCGTCTTCCACTGCTGCTTCTGATTCAGTTTCGGTGGTTTCCATTTCCACGCTCGGATGCTGGGGATCAATTTCTGGTTGACGCTCTTCGAAAATTTGTTGTTCCTGAGTATCGGATTCTGGCTGCTGCTCCTAAAAAAACCATAGATATGAGAAACCGATTAGACTAGCGAAGTTGAGAAGACACGAACAGCAGTGGTGACCACTTCTGCACCCTCATTGCCTTGTTGTTCTATAGACGTTTCGACGGTTGACCCAGTGGTGAAGGATGCTTGTTTCTAAAAAACACTTAAAATATGTTCAAGCTGCTTGAATTTTGAATTGCACGAGGAGTTTATGTGCACTTTTTCTTTTCGGAATTTGTCTACTGTTACTGCTGTTTAAGGAGAAAACGACAGCTTCAAATTGGCGGAGACCTGCGCAACTGGGTGACTGGCAAAGGGTCAGAATGAGAGCTCAACGATTTTTTCAAGGCTTACAGTTTTTTGGCAGTCTTAAAGAAAACTGCAGCAATGAAAGAGGAAAACCATGTTCATACTGAACCGTAGAAGAGTGAGAACGGACTACCACAGAGATAACCGGAGCTTGAATAGCAGTGCCGTACAGCAGGAGGTTTCTCAAAAATCTACTCGAATAATAGTTAAAATTTAACATCTAATTGAAGGCCATCGTTTGTCGAACGAGCGGGATCCTTCCTTTCAGGCAGACCACGATCGTGAGGAAAATATAGGGGAATCACGGCATTTTTCACGAGTGAGGCGATCTTAGGACGTCCTGCGGTTTCAAAAAAGTTCACGGTTACCGGATTAAAAACTCATATTTGCCTTCTGCTCTATAGCCCAGCTCTCAAGAACATTGTAGTTGGAAAACACCCGCGAGTTCCGTTTCCTAAAGGTTTCATGACTTGAATTCCTATCACTGCTTCCGGCAAGCTTGCACTAATTTTACCGAATAAAGCTTGAGAATCAGTGTTAAAATTTATCAAAAAGATCCTCAGGAAAGCATTGGTGTCCTGCAAGTAAAACCATCAAATTTTTTTTGGCGCTGGGTATGTGACGTGCTATCAGTCGGAATCGGAACCCATTACACTTTTCTTTGGGTGGTCTTTAAAAGCTACCAAGGAATAGGAAGGAATACAAGAAGTTAGGTGGTTTCATAAGAATTATCCGAAATTCGGAACAAATAAGGCCTTGATCACCTCCGCCTCATCATGGACTCGATTTCAAAACGAAGTTAGGTTTGTATCAATAGACGGCAGCCACTCCAAAACTTCTTGGCACATTTGAAATGTATTGATTCATTGTTTGGTAAGTTTCAAATTGTGGACAAATAATAGTTTAGAGATTTTTTTACGGCGCATGTAATTTTAGCTAAATTTTGTCTTCAAAGTGGACGAAAAATTAGATCGGACTCCGTCACAGGGTACGGTTATACTTTGCGACTGTCTTGCACATCAGTCGCAGTTTGAATGTAGAGAAATAAATATATTATAGTATATAATAGATCATGAGAAAACGATCAAGATCGTACGATTGATATGTTTCTGATCCGCACTCCAACTGCAAAACTGAGTTTACCGGCCAAGGTGTTCCGACACGCTACTTCCATACACCTTTAGAAAAAATGTGGAGCAGTACCCGCTGAGGACTTGAATGGATAGAATGCCTTTAAATTAGCCGAATGTTAGAAGCCACCCAATATCGTGTGCCTGTTGATTTCGCTTCCTGGAGCACAGTATTTCGCCCATAAAGCATCGTTGTGACAACTTTCGCATTACAAACTGCGGCGAAAACAAGCAAGAAAAAGGAAAGTGGGTCAAAAGGCTCAACATCGAAGTATTCTTTAGCTGCGTTGTCTGCTTTTCAAAAAAGCAATCAGCGCTGAACTTTATTTCTTCATCCAACTCATGTCAACTAACTGCCATTTTTCTTCCATAGTTTGCTTACATTTCCAGTTGCGGTCAACAGAAGATAGAAGTTTTCAGACGGCATAACCAAAATGATCAACAGCATACAAAACAATAGCAGCTAACAGTGCGAAATACCTCAAAAGAAGTTCTTTTAGAAGCATCACCAGCACTTGAGTCTTTGCCTTCGTTATGCAGAAAATCCATGATCTGAAATGGAAGCTTGTGGCTGTTTATAATTTAAATGCAAAAGTGCACAGTTGATTCTGCATAAAAAATAATGAAGCACTCCGACAAAAGGAAGAATATATTATTCATATGGTTAGTAAATCAACAAGATTGGTTAAGACACAACAAAGGTTCTGACCAAAAAATCGCAGGAAAAGGTCTTTAGAATGAACGTGGAAGGCATCGCCTACACGACGCTTACTTGCAAAATCAGTTACGGAAGCATGGAATGCAAAAAATGCATAAACATAATAGTCAGAAAACCGAAGATGAGTGCTATTTTTTTCATATCGTTGAATAACGAAAGCAAACAAGTTGACGTATGTAACAAAGGGCAGAATTTCAGTGTTGACTATAAAAAGGCACATGAAGAAGAACAACATGCGCAAAGAGAAGCTCTGGGGAAGTTTCTTGATTTCAAAAGAAGTAATTTCGCAAAATTATGGCAAACCAATTTGAGTTCACAAAGAACGCCGAGAAACTGGCATCGTGCCAGAACTCAAAGAAGCAACAATATTGGCGCCCAAGAACGATTTGGCGTTGGAGCGCAAAATTGTTCGCATGACTCGATCAACACATAAAATCGTATTCAAAGAGCTCTGTATCTTCGACTGGTGATGGTTTCCTGGTTTCATGTCTGATTTTGTTGCATCTCTCACATATAATCTCCGTCTAATACACAGTGGAGAGAGTAGGATGTCAATGTTTGTTCGCCGCTGTGCCGCTTTCTTCTCAGTCCAACGTGAATATGGCTTAGGAACGGCATATTTGGGTGCTAACTTAGTTGGGGGGGGGGGGGGCCACGCGGCGGCGCGGCAGTCTGCTCACCTGGGCTCTCTCGAACGAGACAGTGTAAACTCGAACATTCCAGCTTTTCACGCATGTCAAGTGACTGCCCCACCCCCCACCCCCCTAGACTGGCTACACTCCCCCTGGCCTCACGGATTTCCGAAGATGCCAGGCGAGCAGACTGCCGCGCCGCCGCGTGGCCCCCCCAACTAAGTTAGCACCGCACACATTACGGTCGGAGATTGAGAGCGTTCTCTCGTAATTACAGCAGCCTTTCTTAGATAAGGTTGTAACCAAAGGTTGGCAGATTGGTCCGACAGCAGACAGATAACAAAGGCCGCGGTATTCACTGCCTACGCGTGATCGCGTTAGTCATTGAGTGGCGCACAATGGGCGCACGCATAGTCGGTCGTCCGACAGCAACGGTCGCAACTGTCTGACTGTCTGACTGCATCTAATCGTCGAATACTCAGGCAAGTCCGACGATCGATACGCATCCAATGCTGTGCGACACTTGCAGTCGTTGCTGTCGTCCGACCGACTATGCGTCGCGAGGCCTGTAGCAAGCATTGGCGCGCCCTTTAAGCGACACAAGCATCAGCGCGGGAGCAGTGGTCAACCAATAAGTGAGAGGACTAAGCCTTATGAAGGAGGTAAGAAAGAAGAGATGCTGTAATGGTGTGTAATGTGCCCACAGAACACCATAAAAACATGAATCACCAGGCCCTGCGGTTGATCGGTGATTACAAAGCATTCGTTATTATGCCGCTGGCGCCATTTGTCGCCATTTGTGGCCTCCTTGTCGCGACCGTCTGTTTTCACTAAATTCGGCGTAAACCTACATTCGCTTTTAGAACTGGCACTGACTAACGCATACTTTCTGCTGTCCTGGACTCTCACTTAGGTCTAGTGCCCAAGGTAAGCTTGTTGGGAAGGGAACACCGCGTTGGTTGAATTGCGCAACAAGGTGAGTGGCTCACCTTGCTCACCTCTGAGCCTCCTCTCTAATCCTCTCTCAGCCACCACCCCCCTCCCCACCCCCACCCCCCCCTCTCAGGACTGCCTACTCTGCTCTATTTTGTGCTCCTTTGTCTACTCTTTATTCCACCGCTTTGTGACTTTCCCAATCTTTTGCTCTTCGGGCTAATCCTTGCGTCGCAAAAAGCGCGCTAATGCTTTCTGCAGCGCGCACCAATGCTAACACGGTTACGTTTACAGTGAATACGCGGCCTTGTTATCTGTCTTGTGTCTCCGATGGGAGTCGTGTGCAACGGTTGTTCTGCTCTCTATCAGACGAGAATTGTAACATTACTTGCAAAAGACCCTTGACAGGGATTGTGGCATTTCGGCCAATGTTGTGGTTTCTGTCAAGGAGAAGGGCTACGCTCTCAGTTCTCCTAGAGCGCATGCAGCGTCGAAGTTTCTCGGATTAGTAGCGATTTTTTCAAGAGTGAGATACGTTTTTTTTTTTGGTTTCGTTCTTTTAACGGCCGACAAGGCGAGCGTTATTGGTGCGCATTTGACGACACAAGTCCACTGACTCCAGAACGCGAAAGGATTTGGTGGAGGGTGAAAAGTGTTGCCGCGAGTTTTGCACCGTTGGCTGACTGGGTGTTGCATATGGCACCGCGCCGCCGCGTTGGGCACCGCGGCTAGGGTGCGACAAAGGCGGAGGAGAAGACGGACCGCGCGTTAGGCGAGCGGGCGGTTGTCACGGGGATTACTTTACAACATGCGCAACTAGGCATGGGAGACTGGCTCGTCAAGTTTGACAGGTGAGGGGCTCCGTCGTGAAAACCGAGAGGGTCAAAGCCTAGCGTTGTGTAACGAGTATAGCAAGCGGCGCAGAGGCGAGTTCGTTCTACTTGATTGTCGGAGAGCGCACACGTTGAAGAGGTGGAGGGGGAGGATGGGATCGGGGTTCAGTAGCCATCTCGGTGGCCACAACGTTGGGTAACGCAAATATCTCTAGGTGAATAATAGAGGGTGAGGAATGACGTGAGGCCAGCACCGACCGTTGTTATGTCGTTTTGGTGTATAGCGTGAATTGAACTCGCAAAACCCTAGCAGGGCAGTCGCTCATATCACACTACGGAATATAACGCTAAATGAGACGTGTTTCGAAATGAAATACAGCGCGAGATTGAGGAGAGGGCGCTAGGGGCTCCCGTGAAGACGAAGAGCAGACCGGCCGCAGGGGGGACAGGGCAAGAGCAAAGGACACGGCGCTCAGAAAGCGATTGGGACGGGGCAAAGCGGATACACAGTGAGCGCGTGCTGACCCAGAGTCGAAGGGATGTAGTGCGCGAGCGCGCGCGGACAGGCAAATGCTACGCCAGAGACGCTTAAGCGATCCTTGGAGACACTTAAACATAAAATTAGCTGGATTTGTCAAAGAGAGAGATTCGAGACTGGCTATCGCCGTGAGAGGTGCCTGACAGCACAACACATGGAAGCGCCGGTTTTGAGAAAATGGCGCGCGAAGTAAATAAGAACCACTTAGCACAAATAGTTGACGAAAAGGAGTCCTAACAACGGGAGGGGAGGGCAATTGGCTGAATGGGGAGTTGGGACGGGCGCGGCCGGGCACTTGAGGAAGGAAAGGGTGGGCGGCGAGCAGGCGCATGGCTATACCTTATGAGACCTTGGGCTGCGTGATGGCTTTTTCATAACCCGGTTGGGCGGTGCTCGTCTAGAAAGCCACGAAACCTAGTGGCTTTAGACTGCTGTTCAGGCTTCCCAAATGAATGACTTTGTAGGTGAGGAAACAAAGGGTCTATGATCGTTTTGAAAGGTGCAAAAAGATCCGCACGTGGCGACCCAGAGCGGGAGGCTGTACCACCACCACAAAAAAAATCCAGTTTGAACGACAACCGCCCCAATAAAAGCCGACGGCGAAGTAAAAACGAGACGGGGCGCGAGCTAATGTCTTGTGAGGAAGACTGATTCTGGGGTCTTGCAGGGAACCGCTTGGAACGTGTCTCTTGAGATAAGGCGATTGGAGTATCCTGGTGCCTAGTGAAATTAATATGCTGTGTCGTGCGCTTTCCCGCAACAATGCAAACGTGGAGGCTTGGAAAGAAGTTTATGAGGTGCTTTTATTAAAGCGCTGCCAAAAGTCGCTTATGCACAGAAGTGGAACCAAATCTGTAAACTAAATGGTTTTACTAATAAATGGGTGATCTGGTTCACACAGAATTTCTCTCAGGGCGCCATGGTTGGACTGAGAGTGAAAATATTTGATTTACCAACGTGTCAAACATCGTAGTCGTATGCTCGGGGGGCGTCGTGGCACCTCGAAAATTGCAGGAAGTTAATCGTTAGACCTATAAGAAAGTTAGGGAGGTGCTGGTGAAATAATTCGTGTGGCATTGAAGAACGTGTGAAGGCGATTCACTACTTCAATCTGGGAGCGATAAATTGTTTTCTAGACTCTGCATCAGTTTGGTTCTCCAGGAGATAGGGAAAGGGGGATGCTGATCAATAATAAAAAACTCACGGCTCACTGGGCAGGACGTGATAATTGGTTCATCTCCTAAAGTTGAGCCGCTTAGACCCGTTTCCGAAGTGGGGGGTATGTTACACGGGCTAGTCTTTGTGAGAAATGCACATCTCCAGGTTTTTCGTTGTGCTGCAAAGCAAAGGGCGACGAATTGGGGTGCTGTGCGTGGGATTTCTTAAGCTAAAGTTCGCTTGAATGACTTTAACGTAGAATAAAATATAGATGGTGATACACTGTCGCTACACAAGTGTGTACATACAAAGGGGGCGAGAGGGCAACGGACGGCCCCACGTCGAAGCGGGGCAGCGACGGTCGAGCGCCCGGCCCAAAAAGGGGAAGGGGGGTAGGTCCGTGAGTGCAGGACCTCCCGCAAAGGGGGGTGCTGAGGGCGGGCGGCCGGGCGTCAAAAAGTTCTAGCCCCTCTGGTCCACTTCTGAAGCGCGCTAACAACGGGCCCGAAGTTTCACGGCCCGCTATGATCCGCGTGTCTGAAAATAGGCACAATTGTTCAAAGGTCTTTAACTGAGACATTGCTCGCGAAACGACAGTATTTCGCTTCTCGTCGAGAGATTCGCTGATGACTGCATTCGTAGGAGCATCACATCAATTGTCATACAAGCGTCCGTCCCGTCGATTGGCTTATTCACCGCAATTTGGAGCGTGATTTTGCGTGATTCCAGCGGAAAGTTCGATCATAGCATCTATGGGCTCGCTTTGAGATGGCGGCGTAGGGGAGAGATCAGCAGCGGCTGATCGTTGGCCAGATATGGTCGTGAGTGGCCGGTGTTTTGCCGGTTTCATATCAGTCGGCGGTTCTACCCCGAGACCTGGGCCGGAATAGCCCGGGCGTCGTCTCCTCGACGTACTGCTTCCCAATTTCGCATATATCTGAAAGAGGCGAGCTTTCAATGAAGCAAGCCTGCGTGCTTTCCAGCGTTTGTGAGAGAATCACGGTTTTTACAGAGGCGTGAACAGGTGCTTCCACATTTTATATTGGGACAGACGGTGGCGTTGCATTACCTTGGCAGCGCATCGATAACTAATCGAAGAGGTGTGATATATATAGAAAGCGGCATGTAAGCTGGAGGGATCACCGTTCGTCGGTTTCTGGGTGGCACGAAGTTGATGATGCGTTTCACTCAAAGCTCACTTTGTGCCACGCCCTGGGATTGATTCTGGCGTTCAGTCTCCTCCTTTCGGTTACACGTTCGTCCATGCATGTGTGTTTCTGGTAATTTTTTTAAAACTCCCCTGAACTGGACGTCCGAGCGTCTCTAGCACGTGAGGTGAAAACATTCTCTCCATTGATACATCGCGACTATTCCCCAATACGAGGTACACACATCGTTGCACACCCGCGAGAAAGTGACACGGCAGGAGCGCCGTTAAGACGACAAATGTGATGATTAGAGACGGAGGAAGCAAGCGAAGGAAATTGGCCGCTTTAGTAATTTAAAGGCAGGGTTTTCCGCCGAAGCGTGGGCAACACGAACTTTTAACTATGGAATTCCCGTATCTTCGTATTTACAGCCTGGTCGGCTTCGGGGGGGGCTCGCCGAGTTGTGGGCTGTAAGGTTCAGCTCAGCCATTCCTGTAGCCGCCCACCCCAAGGGATGTTCGCCAATCAATGGTTTTGTGGGAGGAGAACGCATTCTCCCAAGCTCAGTGCACCGTTTTGGAGATTTGTGGTATAGCTTTTAACTGGGCACTGACGGTTGGAACAGCGCTGAATAAATAGTGGTATAGTCGTTATGGCGCGTATGAGGGAAAGGCCAGGAAGGGGAGTGGCACTTGTCCAGGCCGCAGTTTGTGGAACATTCGTCGTGTTAGAGAGGGAGCAAATTCTAGGGACTGAGGGGGGGTGGTAGTACGGGTAACGGTCAAAAGAATATATATTGATTTTCTTTCTGCTGGAAATCATCACTAAAAGTTCAGGTAGTTCAGTTATAAACGTGCCCAGGACTGGACGAAGATTGAAGTATTTGTTCTGCTTCGATAATAAGTTTTTGCAGGAGACACCTGCACCTTCGGTCGAGACTCCCCGATGGTGTGGGTCCCTGAGCCATGCTCTCTCGTGGAAAAAAGCTAATACTGATTTACGACCCCAGATTTGGTATGAGCCTCGCTTTCGCGACTGGGTAGAAGTGTCGATGGGAAAGGCGGGCTAACGCGTTCACCTCCTAAGATATTGGTTGTAGACACGGCGGTAAAAGGGCGCCAAAGGCGAGCTGTTACGATGAAGCACGCGGTTACTAGCCATATATGGAAGCAGCCCCCTCTAGAGCAACCACAGAACGCCCACCGGTCGTATGGCTACTGCCAGGTCCTCGATATTTAGTGCGCTAGGGCGTCGTTCTCATGCTCTCTGGTCGACTGTCGTCCTCGTGTAGGCCTCTATGCCCTATTTTCTCTTGGAGATATGTGGGCTGTCTGGATGCTGACGTCTACTACCGTCCAGCAAAACCAGGGAAGGGAACGTTTGTCGGGAAATATAGTACTTAGCACGCTTTCAGTTGTGTTTTCTTTCCTTTCTGTTTTCTGCAAGAAAAGGGTAAGGGCTAGCTAAGCGTTAACATTAATAGGTATATTTAGACACCGGACTATTTCTATATTTTTTTGTGGTAGAGTAGAGGGGAGGGGGGGAGTCATTTGAAGGTGCCCAGGAATTCTCAGACCTATATGTATAAACATGTGGCATGAGGAGACTTCTCACCCATCCATGCGAAATCTCGGAAGTTAGCCATGCAGCGCATCCAGGTTGACTTCACCTGTGCCGACTTTATCCGCAGTGTGAGAATTGTTGGAATGCGTTGAGTTGTAGATCCTATTTCATCGGATTAGGCGAGTATTCGTGCCGACCAACGTTTGTACACAGGGCTGAATACGCTATTGTAACTGGTCAGGGATCTCCGTGTTATGTTTGGAATTTAGCAAAATCCGAATAGGGGCGGGTTACTGGGTTAGACAAAGATGGCGGGAATAGCAGGGCTCAATGGAAAGGGATCGTACCTCCTCAACTGCCTTATTTTGGGGTGGTACGGGACTACTGTGGTTCATATTTGCCAACAAACTGCGGCAGATGAAGAGTTCAGCTTCGAGATAGTTGACAGCGTGGATCGAATTGGCACGATAGGAAAAGTTACAAGTTCGGTATGGACGGTCCAGAGAGCGTGTAAGGAAATCGACCTGAGATTAAGCACGGGGTAGACCAAATGTGTTCGATGGACGGGGCTGAATTTAAGAATCTTTTCCTGTCATATCGCCAAGGAGGCATACTTCTCCTGTTTCAAACTACGGAATATGTTTTTCCATTCAGTAAACAAGGATGATCTATGTTATTGTGGGCGGCGGAATCGCGGGCGTGAGCTGTTTGAGGCAACTTTTGGTATCACTTCATGGCTCGGACAACATCATTTTGATCTCTGCCAGTAAACGAGTGAAAACAGTGTCGCAATGGAGAATGGTGAGGCATATCGGAACTGCTCAAGATTTTTCTTTTACCTTTTTTCCCAATTCGAATATCTTCTTCTTACAAATTCATCATTTTCTGCTTCAGATTGGTCAGTATACCGAACAGTTCGAGGTGAATGAAAATGAATCGTCCGGAAGACCTCGTTTTATTTCATACAGCTAAAAGTAGTCCAGTGGACTACAAAATAAGGTGGTAAACAATAAGGGTTGCTAAGTTAGTTGGCAGGGCCACGCGGCCGGCGCGCGCTTGTTGCTGGCGCTCTCTCGGGCGAGATAGTGTGAACTCGAACATTCCAGCTTTTCACGCATGTCAAGTGACTGCCCTAACCCCCCCCCCCCCTTCAACCCTAGACTGCCTACAGTCCTCCTGGCTCACGGATTTCCCGAAGTACGCGAAGATGCCAGGCAAGCAAAGCGGCGCGGTCCCCAACTAGTAGCACCAATAAGTAACCCAGTTCGACACGTACGGCAGAAGTTACTTGAATAATGTTTTGTTACTCATTATCTTTGCTTCTCATCTTGGTCTAAGGATGCATGTTCTTTCAGCGAGCAATGGCTCTCTTAACTCACCTAACTCAACTCGGGTCTGGGTTGCTAGAACAGAAGGCGAATGTTTCGCTTCTCGCAGCGCGAAGTATTTCTTCCTGCGAGAACTCCAGGTCCACCCGATCATAAGGGGCCCGTGGTTCTTCCAGCGAAAATGCTTCGCGCTGCGAAAACTGAAAAAGTTGCGTTCTTCCCTAGCGACCACACCCACTCAACTCAAAACAGGCTCTCTGAACTCTAACAGCTTATCTCAGGAACTACTGCTCAGCGGTCGAAAGGATTCCTTGAAGTATGACAGATTATGCATAGCTACAGGTGCACTGCCATTATCGCCATTTTCCAACGATAAAGTAAGGATTTTTGTCTTACCATTTCTTATACCACCATTAGGAAATATATAATCGCTCTATGAAAATGGAAGAAAGAAGAGGGGAGAAATCAACAGCCATAAGTAGTTGTTGTGCGAAGTGCAACCGCGATAGCGCTGTCACTATTGCTCAATCGCCGACTGTCTCCCAAGGCTCGGTTTGTGTTGCGATTCACTCCAATGTGACGCCTAGATTGCGATAGTACTCTTTCCTTAACAAGATTTTTTCTGCATACACATCCATATACGAGGCGTTGATCAGGTGGAAAAAATAGCTGAGGGCATTGCTCATAGAGAGGGAGAGAGAAGAATTCCAGTTTTTGCCGAGACATAGCTGATTATACGAGTAATCCAATTGCGCTGATTTTCCGAGCATCTTTCTAAAAGTATTTAATTAGTAGATTTCCACCTATAGTGCACAGTGGATCATCCATCCATTCAGGAGATCATGCAGAAAGAAAAAGAAATGTTAAAGGGAAGTGTAGTAATGCAGGAGAACGTTATTCTTACTCATTGCCTTCACATTGCTTCTTTGAATACTTATCCGAATCTGCATTGTCTTATCCGAAGGAAAACGTTTGATACTGCTGCAAATTATTTTTTAAAGGTGCTAACGATTCGCGACACGGAGTCGGCTGAACAGTTGCAGCGTCGCCTCCAAGGAGCAAAACGTGTAGCTGTTGTAGGCAACGGAGGCATTGCTACAGAAATTGTGTAAGTTTTTTTTTATTTATTCGTTCTTAGTAGAACTACCTTCACTGAAACTACTGTAATTGAACATTACTTTTGCAGTTTCGAAATCAAGGGTGTTCATGTTACATGGATCATTCGTGACGACTCAATTTCTTCGGTATTCTTCAATCCGGCAATCGCGGAATTCTTTCAGAAAAGAGTCGAAACGGGACGCCAAGAAGGTATGATGCTCTCAGTTGAATTAGTGCATTATTTTGTCTGAACACATCTAGAACCGTTCTCGTTAACTTAGGGCTCAAGGAAATACCCGCAAATAACGCTCAGAGAAAATCAAACGCTAAGACATTTCAGTTTACTGTCTTCCACCACCTAGTCAGGATTGTTAAGATGCCGTGGAAGCAGTCTAGAAGGGGTAGTGGAGCAATCAGAAGAATTCAAGTGCAGAAAATACTTCCTTCGACGGTGACTGCTATTCCGCTTAGGATCACGATGTGTTGAGGGAGCGTGGAGTCTAGGTTTGAGGAGTAACGATCAGGGTGAACTTCCTTCGAAGAAGCAGTTGCGGTGGAACGTCCCCCTACCCCTCGCCCCGTCCAACTCCTTCAAATTTGCCATCAACCGTGCGGGAGTGGTTATCTTGCTACTGAGACGGCAATTTCCGCTTTTTTGAAACTTTTTTGATTGTAAATGTTTCCTTTTACGACCGCTGAATTTTCCATATACGACCCTCGCTGAGTTATACACCGTTACACCCTAGAAGGTTGGTTCATTGAAAAAATGGTTAATGTTCGATCAACGCTTTAACATGTTGCTACGTAGTAGACCATTATCAACATAGAAACATCACTCATTGTAATCCAAAAGTGGGCTTACGGCTTCTCATATGCTTGTTGTGAAGCTTACTAAGTTAAGGTGCAAAGAACGCCGGTGTGCTTAAACGTCCGAGGTATGGTCTTGATGATTTTGGTGAGAAAAATACGGCACCGAACGTCGCTGGCTGCGCCCTTGGCCCTGACTGGATTTCATCCCTATCATTCGAGGATAGTTCACAGGTGTGTCGTTTATCTTCCCACTTTTTTCGAGGCACAGCCCACCAGTCTACATCCATTGAAGGCACGGTCACGGTTAGCTTGAGAAGTATTCTTCCCGTGGATTGAGGTAGCAATGTCCCTAAGCACAGAAATCTTGCACTGCCGCGACTGGAACATGCTTAATAGAGACGCTAGGCGTTTCCTTGAACGCTGCAGGCGCTGCCATTTCCGTTCGCAGCATACGCAGTGTTCGCAACTTCTCATGCGGGCCCTCTCGCGTGTTCCTTTTCCTCACCGCGTTGGTGTCTTCCTTTGCAACGCCGTTGGCATCAAAAGATGTTGTCTTCAATTTTAGTATTTTTCAATGGTCCCTTCTGCTTTTTCTCATTCGCTGTCCTCTCCGCATCTTCTGCTTCCGAGTGGAAGAAACCTTCATTTACCTGACCCAAAGGTGAAGTCTCTCGAGCAAATTAACCAAAGCACAGTTGTAATGGCGTGGACAAGGGTTTGATCTGATAGGGTAGTAGACTTCCATTTGCTCTCCAGATACTCATTCAGCAAAGTGCCAAACAAAGGGTAAAGAAAAGTTTGAAAGCGCGTTCAGTATCGCTGTTTGCATGTAAAAGGAGCCATTGACATTGATGTCGCAGTCGCTATCAGGAAATCTAAAACTATTCGTGATGCTGGGCTTTAATGTGTTGGATGATGCTATTGGGCTCCCATCTTAGGCTGGTGTCAGAGTCCGCGATCCGCTCTTCGCGATTTGCGCGATTTTCGCGATTTGCGCGATTTTCGCGAAACCTGCGATGGATCACAGGAGTTGGAAGTGCCCGATGAATACTGCGAGGTGTTGTTTAATCCTGCTGCGAATTCTGCTTGGCAGTAAAGATTGGAAGACGAATGTTTGTGGTTCTACTTGTTTCATGTTCAATGTCTATTAGTTCATTGAAATGCTCTTGAATCGTTCCTATTTTTTTCAGGAATCAAACCAAACCAATCACAAAAATTGCAAGTGCCCCATTTGAACAATTGAAACACTGGATATGAAACAAGTGGAATCATGAGCAGTCTCCATTAAACCATAACCATCAAGCAGAAGTGACGGCGGGATTGGAGAACACCTTGCAGTATGGATGGGGCACTTGTGATTTCCGTGACCCGTCGCGCAAATCGCGAAAATCGCGCAAAGGATCGCGGACTCTGACATCAGCCTCTCCTTGCCCAGTCGAAAACTATTGCTATTATTAGATGCACGTTCTGTTCAGGTGAAGCTAATCAGAATCAGTTGTAATCAGTATTACATCAAGAGGTAATTACTACTGTTTACTTCAGGGCCGATCTGTGAACATTATTCGTAATGTAGAGGTCCAAATGGTAGCTGATGTTGATGATGGGTTGAAGTTATCTCTCAGCAATGGATCTGATATTCGATGTGACTTCGTGATTTGGGCTACTGGAGTGGTTCCGGCGACGAGCGTTTGGACGAATAATTGTGAAAAGGTCGGTTGACAATCAAAAGTTATTTCTTGCTGGTATTAGAGAAGGCAACTAATCGTATTAATTGTTGAATTTCGTTGGTTGAATCTCAACATCATTGGTTTAATTGAAACCATTTCCAACAAATAGTATTAATAGTATTTAAAACAGCTGAGACGAACTCCTTTTAATGATCCTCAGAAGTTGGAGGATTTTTTTTAGCTTATCAATGTGCACACCTTTCGCGTATTTAATGAGAGTGGCCTACCTCTTCTCCGATCCTGATCCGACAGGATTTTTTCAATTTTGTTTCGTCTTTTCAGTGAAAGTTCATCAAAAAAGAGGGGCAAGAAAAAATGAATTGACGTGTAGTCAGTGGAAAAGTCTTTGACTGTTTTATCCTGTGATTAGCAAATTCTTAGTGTCATGTAATAAGGATGGAAGAGCCTTAAATGATCTATCTTGCCTTTAGTACATTCTGAGTTTAGCTACAAATTTCCTCATCTGACGGGGGAATAGTTGTCGACGATGCGATGCGCACTTCCGTTCCAGACGTCTACGCTTGCGGTGATGTATGCAGCGTAACATGGAGTGCAACCGTCAGAGTACTGGAAGCAAGTATAACATCCTCGAAACATTAAGCCTTCGATTTTATGCTGGAGTGTAGTCGTGGCTCCTGAACAATGCCCACCTTCAACAACTTTTTAGAGCGTAGTTACGGTGCACAATCATTTCTGTGCAGAGCACACCACCTACGTTGCGAATGACACTTGTTGTGATAGAGAAATGTGGGTATTCGAATGGTTGTAGCAGCTAAACAATCCGACTTTATCACAGTGTTACACAATATCAAGATAGACTGTCAAGGCTACATTACTATCTCGAGGTAGACATCAGGGCTGACACTTACAGCAACATTCAAGTACCTACCTTGACTCAGCAATACGTCTGACGGCAGTATTGTTGCAGAATCCAACTCTTGCGGATTGTCGCTGGTTCAAGTGGTTTAACACAATGCGGTGCGTGATACGTGGATCCCCTGCATTGCAGGGCACACCCATAAATCACTGACTTGGGCCCATCATTCATGATAAAAATGGAAAGATCAAAAAATTGTGTTTGTCCTCTCAACCAATTAGTAAAACATGAAGGTGCACTCAAATTACCACGATACATCTGTCACAAATATCGACGACGGGAATGATTTCCACGAAGTTCTCGGATTGCCTTCTCTGGAACTGGAGCGTTCGCAAACTATGACATGGCATAGCTCCTGAATCGAAACGCGGATAGTACATTGTCCAGACCAGCCAGGCCTTTCATACTCCGCGTAGGGCTAGTTGAAGACAGACTTCTGGGAGGATGAAAAGTCAGCCTCGTACATCAATTGGTCCAATTCTTTGGATACCGTAATCAGTTCTCCTCTATTCTGAAGAAACAGAATGCTCTTGGCGCAAGTAAAAGAAGGATTGATCAACGCATGGGATTGCAAGAAATGTAGGTATAGTATTAGGTTGGTTCTACTGGGATCCACTCAAGAGCCTTTGCCAGTTTTTTTTTTTTGTACGCAGGTCACATATGGCCGCCAATTGAAAGGAACGCATACATTTTTGTAGCAGAATTTTTATCATGTTCATTTCAAGTTCAGATGCGACTTTGGACACAAGCGCGACAGATGGGTGACTATTGTGCTAGGTCTATGATGTCGAATGGAGATGTTGAAAAAGATTTCTGTTTCGAGTTGTTCACTCACACTACTTCATTTTTTGGCTTCAAGGTGAGGTATGCTTCACATTGCGAGGTCCATCGAACTAAATGGTGACTGGGCTCTGTTTAACCATTTGTTCCTATTTTTTGAAACAATTCTAAACTCTCACTCTTACTAGAACTAAAGTTTCCTCCGGGAGTTGCTTGCCTGTGACGCGAACAGTATACACTTCTCATGAACATTGCATCGCAACTTCAAATGTAAGGGGGCATGGAAGTTCGTCGGGCTCGCGCAAAGTGATGTGCCAGCGATATCACGCCTTGAATTTTTGCGTAAAAATAGCATTCGTGCAAATGGCTGCAAGGGTACATATCGGTAAAGAATTGATACTATGGCTCTTCCAAAACGAGGCAGCGAATTCAGATTTGTTCGTTTTTTACTGAAGTTCTGAATGAAGAAGTTTTGAAATTGAGCAATTGTATGAGTAGTATCCAGTTCAGGTGATTTTTCTGGGCGATTTCAAGGGTGAGCGACAACCTGAAGGATGGTATACGATCGAAAGGTAAGACTTAGATTTCTGACAACTTGGGATGGGCTTTTGTTTGCCAAGCTAAGTCCCAATAGAGCATGTTGTGGCAGGCGTGCGCTCGTTGCTTCTAAATAATCTTACATTATGTTCTAGTCGGAACTCATAAGTAGAGTGGTTTTCATTGAGTTTAGAAGAGTTGCTTAATTGAAGGAGTGTGAGTTGAGATTGTTTTATTGGGATTCTCAGACGGTTGCTCTGGCATTTAGAGTTTTGGTAGCTCTCGAACGGATAAGTTTTACATGCTATTATTCTGCGATTCGACTGTAATTTTGAGATCAAATCTTGCTATTGTCTGCGATGCTTGAAAACTTGTGTCAAATTGTTTTTTTTTTGTTAGAATAATCGAGGAAGATCAGTTCGTTCAATGTATAATGTTCAATCATCGTGTGGTTGGAGCTGTGCTCGTTGGAGAGACTGATCTTGAGGCATTGTTTTGTTTCTCTATTTCTTTCCATTTTTAATACTTTCTTTCCTCAACAGTTCCGGTTGCCATGCTAACTTGCCTTTTTCAGGAAACCATTGAGAAATCTTATCCTGATAAA